ATAAACAAGAAAAATTTCTGTAGACATTGCATCTTGTGCACTTGGCAAGGAGGTCTTGCCATCGTATGTGGATAGCTTTTAAGAGGCTTAGGTCAACATGTGTTCCAATTTAAAGGGGTTTGAATTCTGATCGGCCATCATTATTGATGTCTTTAAGCTGTCAACTTCCATGGCGACAGCAGCAGAAACTCATTCTTCAGTTTCTCCAACTTTATTTTCCATTGGGTCTGTTCTGCCTTGCATAGCCTCAGATTTGTTTTCGATTATGGCAGTAATTTCTATTTTCATTTCCTCTTGATCTGCTTCAATTTTTTCTTTATCCACTCTCATTCTGCCTTTGTGTCTGTTCTTTGAATGCATCAAAGGGCTGCCACGAGTTGTCTTACTTACTTCTCCATTGCTCTTGTCACCAGCATTCAACCCCATTCCTGACTCTAAAAATTGTTCCATGTGTACATGTTCATAATGGATTGAATGCGCACAGAAATAATGATAGCTTGATAAAATTTATTTTTACAAAAGAAACACCTTACATTTGTTGAAACTTTCCATAAAAGTACTCATGCAGCTCTTCTTAATATGACAAGAGATAATCATTCATTACCACTTTAAACTACTAAGAATATTATATAGAATGCAATGCAAAGCACATGTAAAGAACAGAGCTCACACAGAGATCTAACTCTAAACTAAATGCTCTCTCTGGGCTTATAAAATTTATCCCAGCTGCTAAGAAGTCTGTAGTACCTTCCATTTCTTGAAGTTGCTGGAAGGTATATGCAGTACAAAGTTCGTAATCCGGACTCGTCGAGACTTTGGCAATTCCGGATTAGGGGTTTTTCCGGATTATAGATCATCAATTTAAATCTGGTAAGATGGCATGCAGAAATTATACAATTAAAAATATGAAACGATAATTTATGAAATAAAGAGCAATTATGATCTAAAAGTTATCAAAATTTACAAAAAAAAAAAAATGCTTAATATTTATTTGTTAACTTTATTAAACATTTGTTTCAATGTAAGTTGTTCACAGTACCATGCTGGTGCCAGATCACAATGTCGCCAAATTTGTTGGCAAAAATTTAGTCACCAAAATCATCACTATATTGGCAATATCTCATCAGGACGGTTATTCTATGCTACAAGAGTCGACAGCAAGTTGTGGGCCGCCAGATGTCGCTGCTAGTAAAAAACAGCTAGTATGCCCGACATCCTATATTCTCTGAGTACGGAAGTTGTCGAAAGCGCGTGAAAAAGTGTTGCCGCATCGTCAATCAGGGTTGTGCAGTTGACGTACTAAGTAGACAATGGCTTTATATGTGTTTTCGCCGTTGATTTTTTCATATTTAAACGATGAATCGGGGGCGAATTTATAGAAAATATGTTGATGCTTTTGCTGTGCCAAAAGATGTTTTCATTGCGTATTTCATATTGCTAAAATTTATAGTTATTTTAATTTGCGATGAACTGAGAGAGTATTTGGAGCCACATTCAGAAAACAAGAACGCAATTTCTACTGAAAGAAAGGTTATACTATTCCTGAAATTATAGATATAAATTGTAATTGTACACTTTAAAAATGTAGAAGGTAATAAGTTTATCAAGCACATAAACCTTCTTCATTTAATACAAATATAGACATCCGATAAGCTTCTACTCGATTTATGTACAGCAAGAATTACGTTTACTTTAAAATCTAACAGTTGAATACCTTACGAATAATACTGTGAACACAAAAATGTCGTTCATTATTACGCGAAATTCACACTACTGTAAAATAAAAATTTTTTTAAAAAAATTATAAAATAGCTTTATAATATTTTTTTCAGTAGCTGTACTACTACTAGTGTGATACTTTTAAAAATAAGTTTTAGCCCAGAGGGGCTATTAATTTCGTTTTGCCATTTTGTGGCATTTCACTTTTCAAATCGTTGCCACCAAGTATTATCGCACTCTATTATATTAAAATTAAATAATGAGGAATCTGCAGAATGTATGAATGTTTCTCGCACTGTGATAAAACAACGGTACCTAGAGCCATGAAACTCTGAATAATGTAATCCTCCATCCTAATATAGGCATCTGGAGGCCCAAATTTGGAACTGGGAATTTGTATTATTATCCATTTCATATATCATATTTTGTAAAGCATTTATGAGTTTTTGATTAAGAAACCCAACGATTTCAAAGCGAGCAATGGCAACATTGTATGGAAAAAAACACTTTCATCTCTAGCGCGCGAAACTATGTATCGAAATTCTAAAGACATGCTTTTTTTAAATTATATAATATTGCTGTTGAATTCAATTTTATAGTTTAAGTGGGAAAAACATGATATTTAATAAATAAAGGTAACACGCAAAACGTTAAAAAAATGGCCCTTTGGGAGTAATATAAAATCTTAAGGCTTTCAGATTTTTTTTCTTTTCTTTTTATTATTATTATTATTATTATTATTATTATTGTGTGTGTGTGTAATTTTAATACGTTTTAAAACTGGTTTCTAAGTGAGGACTTTCTAAGGGAAACTGGCTCGTATACACGTTACACATGGGGAAAGCCACGAAAACGCAGGCCAGCTCGTTCACGGGATTCGAACCTCAGACCAAACTACCTGCGTTCAGCGACTCTACCGCTCGGCGACTGGTGGGCTTGTTAGTAGAATTATACTGTATTATTATTGTATTATACTATAAAGTAACAATGCTATAAGACTAAGGGTTTAATCATGGAATAGTACTTTTGTAACCTATTATAGTATTAAAAAATCATTGTTTCTTTGCAAACTTAAAAAATAATAATAATGTTCATAGCATTCTCATTTTTATATTGTAAAAGAGATATTGATTATTATTAGTTTTCTATTTAAAATGTGCCGAAACGCTGGTTTAACAGAGACTTCAACTGCAGGAGACCTACACTGATTATTTTTACTTTAGTACTTCCATTGTGAAAATATTACTATCTTTTAATTATTTTCACAGAACAAAATCTTTTCAGAAGGAAGAATATTTAAACTGAGCAGTTCTTATATACATACAAAATTTAAATAACAGCAATGTAATATTGGGAAAAAAGGTATTAGTAATTGTGTGAAAAAAATTGCAAAACGAATTAATTTTGGTTATATATTTGATATTGAAAAAATATTTTCTTTCATGTTAATTATAGAATAAATTATTTAAAATAAAGCATTTTGATGCGTGTGTGATAATTGAATGCGGCAGCAATCGGCCATACTGTAATAGCGAATGAATTTTATTTCTTTTCCTGAAAGAAATATTTTTCATAGAAAAATAAAATAAAAAAGAGGAAGAAATTTTAAGAAAGAAATATTTACTTTCTAATTTCTTATTTAAAGAAATATTTTTCCAATAGTAATAGTAGTTTTAATGAAACAGAAAAGAAAAAATACAAAACAAAAACTTAGTTAGATTGTAATGCAAATTAATCATATTATAAATTTAAATGATTAAAATTGTTTATTTCTAAAAGGATTTGAAGTAAGCTTAATTCATTTACTCTTATTTATTTACCATTGCTTTCATGGTTTCGTGGTATCCCATATCACTCTTTATTTCTTAGCTCTAAATTCCTGCGTTAACTTTCACATTAAAAAATGGGAATTTTTTTTACATAACACAGCAGCATATTCTACTGCGTGTTGGTCATAATAGTGTTTTGTACTCTATTTCTTCAAACTTGCAGTATAATCATTATTCGGATATTAGGATCAGTGCCAGATTTCACGATTGGATACTATTCTTTTTTGAGGGCCTTAAAAAATCACCAAACTATTGTTGATGCCAGTGCTGCCAAAAATAATTGTGGCAACCCTAACGCAAGAAGGAAGTATAATAGTAAATAACTATCTAGATTGATGTTTTAATTAGATGAAAGGTTAATTTCATATAATACTTTTTATTATTATAATTTATATAAAAAAGGCTAAACATGACTGAATGGAAGCATAAGAGTAAATAACTATTTCAGATCATTATTATAATTTATGTAAAAATTGTTAAACATAACTGAATGCCTGCATCGCTATTTCGCTACCGAGTTATCCCTAAAGCATAGTTTCATCTCGTTGGTTGTTCAAACATAATTTTCTATAATGAATAAAGCCTTTTCTTTGAAAAAATTCTCGGTAAAGTGCAGAATCGCCCACTTATTTGTTTGCCGCTTTTTACAAGGGTAAAAACAATTGGATTTGTGTAAATTTTCTTTTACTTTTTAAGTGAAAATAGGCCGATGTGTACATAGATAAAGTGAAAGGTGTGCGCAGTGCCATTTTTGTGCAAATCTTTTTTTTTTTTTTTTTTTTTTAATGTGAAAATAGCTCGATGTGTACATGGATACCGAGTATGTGCAATTTTTAAAAACGCGTTAAGCAGTGGGTGATTCTGCACTTTACCCAAAATTCTATTGCAGACTTTTCGTCATGGGCAATTCCCAAATTGTTAAATCCATAGGAAATCAAAAAAGGATTTAAATATTAAACTAGTATTTTAATGGCGTTTTAGAAAATATAGAACTAAATAAACTTGCGCAATCTGAAATCAGCGCGTACGCTAGATTTGGAGGCTTTTGTGCATACATTTTCGATGCAATTTTTTTACGGTACTCAAAACAGAAAAGTACCCACGATTGAAGTGAAAATATGTAAATTTTTTTTAAGCAAGTTCTGTATTGTGTTGATTTGAATATTCTTTGTTCTCATTACAAATTGTTTCTGAAAAATTGTGTGGCACAGCTTGCTGTTGTATCATTTTGCAACAAATTAGATGAAGTTTCTCCTTTAATTCTATATAATATTTTCTAGTAAGTTTCTATAAACTAAGGTCTAAATCCTGTGAACTGTGATAGGTTACTAATTAAGTACACAGTGAATTATTTCCATTGTGTACTTAGTTAAATCTTCTTTAAAGTGGTTTAACTAGTTAATTTGAAACACTTGTAATTTTATCTCTAATTGTGAAAAATTTATTATTTAGCAAAAATTGATTCCCCGGGGAGCGAAGAAATGAGTTCTTCTGAGGAAGTATCATGGATTTCTTGGTTTTGTGGGTTACGAGGCAATGAATTCTTTTGTGAAGTAAGCAGATATTAATTTTTCTAATTCTAATATTAGGTGCATTAAAACAAGAAGAGAAGTAATTTTTTTGATAAAATAACTCAACTGTAATTGTATGTATGAATTAATTCTCCAAGCAGGCAATGGTTTGGCCCCAACCTTGAGCTTCAAAAAATATAATGATTAAATAGTATTTTCATGATTATAATTTCAGGATGGAACTCTTTTTCTTCTAATAGTTATAGTAGCTTAATTGTTTAAGTGCATTTCGAGATGCATATCATGTACTTAAAGGTATTATGACAACAACTGATGTATTCATTAATTAAAATACAGCAAGAGTTCGTGAGCAGTGCATTCATTACTTGAACCTGTGATCTGAATGTTTTTACAGATTCAACTTGATGTAAGCAGACAACTTATTTGAACCTTACCCAAAAGGGATTCTATCCTACTAATAATAAGGATACTCACTCCGTTCCCTAAAAAAAAAAAAAAAAAAAAGTGCAAGGTAACTAAGTTTGGTGCGAGTACAGTTAAAGCAGAAAAATTTCTTTATTAAATTTCCTTAATGAAGATTTTAAAATATTAAATTTATTGTGAGTACCAAAGTCTGCCAGAATATTATACGATTGACCTTTTTACTATGTTTGGAGTACTGGTATTCCATCTTCGTCAGTCTTTTTACTATGTTAAGTTTAATCAAGATATTTATTTGTTTGTATAGAAACCTAATACATAGTAGATATATAACCTAATAGATTGAACTATAATCACTTGCCATGAAGGTAATATTTTGGTGCAATAGGCACTCAAAAGTCTTTTGCAGAAACATTGCATTTTTGCCTTTTATGGCCTGCTGAAGTACATTTAGTTCTCCCATTATTTTCATCCTTAACTAATAAAATATCGTTTTTATGCTTTTTTTAAAACCATCATACTCTATATTCAGTTATTAGCAGATTTTGTTGATTATCCTTTTACCATAAATTATTTTTTTTTTTTTTAGCACAAAGAGGCAATTTTGCTCAGAAGGGCTATTAATTTCATTTTGGCGTTTTGCGTTGATTCACTATAAATGGCGAATCACTTTTTAAATTGTTGCCACCAAATATTAAAGCCATCTATTATATTTAAAGAAACTTAGTAATGAAGAATCTTCAAAAATGTATGTATGTTTCTCGCATTGTGATAAAACAACGTTACCTAGAGCCATCAAATTTTGAATAATGTACGTCTCCACCCGAATATGGGCATCTGGAAGCCCAAATTTGGAATCTGTTTTATTATCTCTTTCATATTTTGTAAAGCATTTGTGAGTTTTTGATTCAGAAACTTAACAATTTCAAAGCGAGCAATGGCAACACTGTACCGGGGGGGGAAGACATTTTTATCTTCAGCACATTAGACTGTGTATCAGAAATTCTAAAGATATGCTCTTTTAAGTATTTTGTGATATTACTGTTGAATTGAATTTTATGGTTTAAGTGTGAAGAACATGATATTTAATAAATAAAGGTAACATACAAAACATTAAAAAAAAAAAATGCCCCTTTGGACGTAATATAAAATCTGAGGAACTTTTTATGAAGAACTATATCTGTTTCTGCAGATCTGTAACTATTATCTTAGATATTATTATTTGCTTAGTCAAATTTCAGTCGCTCTTTTAATTTCCAATGCCATTTCCTAAAATAAACATTCTGTCTGTTCACCATCATAAATCCGTGTCATACTGAAGCTAAATATCGCTTATCTTTATTGATCACTGTACCTGCATAATACTAGTGTTTTTAGTTGCGTAATTGGAATATGCTGCCCATTCTGTTGGACAAACTAAAACAACTTTGGAATGTTCAAAAATTACATTTTGTATTCATTGACATTGAGTTTTTTAAGTGCTATATTGTACTGTATTCACTTGTATGTTTCTAGCGTTTTCAGCTTATTATTTAGAAACTTTTGATTTGTAATAACTACATGAAATGTATTGTCACAATTGAAAAAGTGTCTCGTATGAGTGAAAAAGAATATGACCACTGTTATTAACTTTTAGTGAATTTATTTGCTTTATTATTTATTTAAATAATAAAATAAAACTTTTTATAAAAAAAAGGGCAGGAGGTTGCTTTCCGATTATCCGCCCAACTTATTAAAAAGTCACCAATCATTGGCCACAGTTTTTTCCCAACCTGATGACCTCATTAAAAACTTATGTTATGCTTGCTTACTCTCATTCTCTGTATGTACACAGCTATCTGTTTTTACTTTAAAAGTATCAGAGTCCCACCAGCAGACGAGCGGTCAAGTCCCTGAACTCTGGTAGTTTCAACCTGGGTTCAATTCCAGGTGAATATACGAAATTGTGCATCATTTAAATATTGGGCAAAGAAATGAAATGCTTTTTCATCAGCCAGCAAACTCAGCAGTCCCATTGTGATTCCTTACAATGAAAAAAGTGCACAAACACTAACCAGAAAAACATATGCGTACTTGAGTTGTTGTTTAAATGCTTTTTAATAACATTACGAGTTGCCTATCTTGACAACATAGTGAATTCTTTCATGGTTGCATCCACGAAAGCATGCAATGAGGAAAAAAATTCCTTACATTTCTACAGTAAAAGGATTATTTAGCTACTGTACTGAAATATGTAGGCCACTAGTCAGAACATGAGAGGTGTTTCATGCTATGATCACAAGATTAGCAGAACAGTAGTACCTCTGTATATATTATTGTGTTCTAGATCCTTATACAGTCACCAAACTGGAGTTTACCAAGCAAAATTTTCAAATAAGAAAATACGAGAAAATAATATCTTCTTATTAAAAAAATTGTTTTGTTGTTATTTTATAACACTGTTTAATATTAAAATATAATCATCAGGGAATGAAATATATACTTCACATAAAATATCTTATCCAGATCAAAAGCAGTTTTGCAGCATTAGCATATTTAATGGCATCATTATTTTTCAGTAATAAATACCATCATTCTCATCATATGATATCCATTAACCAAGTCCTAGACACACGTTATCTTCATATTTTTCAACAATCCCTTTTTTGACCACCATGGTGATGTAATCCTAACCATTTTCTTCAATATTTTAACTCTTTGCATTAACTTTCTTTTAATTCTCTGTTAAAAAAAGAGTAAAATAAATTTATTCTCTGTTAAAAAAAGAGTAAAATAAACTCAAAATTACATGAAAATTCAGAGTTATAGCATGGGTTATCTAGAATAGTAAGTAGCAACGTAGTAGTAGCATTATCTCGAAAGGAATAAAGAGCAGTAAGTTTGCACAGCCATGTTTCATCTAATCGAGTCATATTCCAAACAAAAACTTTAGCATCTAAACAGGACATATACCAATTAATATGAAAGTGGTTATGAGAAGTACCACTGTATTTTGCATTTAGTTAAAAGTGCGATTTATTGCAACTTTGATGTCTTTAAAATCAGTTACAGTGAATTTACATGTAATATAATAAATTTAATTTTTCTATATTGGCTTAGAATGATATAAATAATACAAAAGATCTGAAAGAGAGATTTTTTTGTTTTACTTTTAATGTATAGGTTATATTTTTGGGTATTCCGCTATGTATTGTAATATAAAATATCCATTACTTTTTATTCATGCATGTAATGATTCTCTCCCCTCACTTCTTCTTGGAGCAAGCATTCTCAATAATCTGTAATTGGATGTATTATTATTATTTGTAATTTATTAAAATTGAAAGTTATTAAAGTAACTGATACCTTTTGCTCTTTAATTTCAAATAGGTTGATGAAGATTATATTCAGGACAAATTCAATCTCACTGGACTTAGTGAGCAAGTGCCTCATTATCGCCAAGCTTTGGATATGATACTTGACTTAGAACCTGGTGAGCAAAATATAAATATAAATATCTCGAGTGAAGTAGATTGCAAATAATGTAATCTTGTTTGAAAAAAGTAGTGTACATCTGTTTCGAACCTAATTGCATTTTATGTATATTTACCATGGCAAAATATATATTTTAAATTTCTCTAAAAACAGTTTTGTGATACAGTCAAAAGTCGTTGATTCGGACACCCATAATCCGGACCTCAAAGCTACAAACTTTCTGCGCATGCATCGCGTTCACGCATGCGCACAGGCGTTTAAGAGTGCTCATAAGACCTTTACGGCTGTGAATATGTTTGTGCGCATGCGCGTTTAATTTCAATTATGTCAAATAGAATTTCCGATATATATTTACTAATATGTAATTTGTATCTACAAAGCGAAAGTATGTTTTGAAATCCGAAATCTGTTTATCAATTTCACGCCGCGCATTGGAAGTTGATCTATCAGCACTATCCTTATCTTCAGGGCAAATGTTTTTATTTTATTTGGTTTATAATTCCTTACTAAGTGTAGTATTTCATCTCGATGTACTCCGTCTTTGATATGATTTAAATCAAGTTCCTCGTCATTATAATTCGCTTCCGATAGTGAAGAAAGTGACCCAGAAGTTATTGAAAACAAAAAAATTTCAATTGACAAATTAGTCGGTATTCTCAACACAGCAATTATAGGACTTGAACAGCGGAACTTTGTAACTAAACAAGAAATTATGTCTGTTTAATAGAATTAAAGAGAAAGTATTATCACATGAAACGAAGCAACTTACATTGAAAGAAATGTTTAATAAAGTAAACAAATAAATATTAAGCTTTTTCTTTTTGTAAATTTTGATACCCTTTAGATCATAATTGTTCTTTATTTCATAAATTATGGTTTCGTATTTTTAATTTTGTAATTTCTGCATGCCATCTTACCAGATTTAAACTGATGATCTATAATCCGGAAAAATCAATAGTCCGGAATCGCCGAAGTCCCGACGAGTCTGGATTAACGACTTTTGACTGTAGTACCATTTGTCTCAAACCACAGTTAAGATATATGTATTGTATTGAATTGCATTGAAAATATATAATGCTCTTGATTTAACCATATGCTGAAGTAAAATAGAAACTTATTGTAAAATATCAGATGCCAAATTTTTTCAAAAATTGTAAGTTTTTTTTTTTTTTTTTTTTTGTTGTTGTTGTTGTGTTGTTGTTTGTTTGTTTTCTATTTTGTTTGTTTGTTCGCATGCGCCTGAATGAGTGAGAGAGAATTTTTCAACTTGCAAGCCCCCTTTTTTTTCCCTTCCATAAAATGTATTTATTTTCGAAATTTCCGTAGAACTATCGTTAGAAGGGTTGATTGAGGTATATTCCCTGATTTACTTAAATTAATGCTATGACAGTTCGCTGTCATGGGATCATGAATTTTAGTCTGTCAGGACCATGATAATTTTAATATTCATTTTATATGTAATGCATTTAAAAAAATTACCAACCATTTCTCTCTATGCAGAATGCAGCGCAATGGTGTCTAAAGCATCCATACTGCACACCTTGACGACATGTGACCTGGCAAGTTTATGTCTGGCCTGAAATGAAATTTTATATAGAGTTCTTGCAAACAAAGATTAGAGATCACTGAAACTGTAGTAAAATTTAAAATCTCTTAAATACATGTCAAATGTCCCGATGTAAAAAAATCTTTGTAATTTTTAAATAAACATTTGGATGCATTAAGAATTGTTTTTATGTTGTTAAAGTGTTGGCTGTTTTGGGTTATAGTATATTTAAAGGTGCCCTTTGGATTATTTGGTAAAAGTCGCCACTACACAAAGCGAAAATAACAAGTCAAATGATTGCTCAAACTCGGTGTCCATGTACCCACAATTTTCGCCAAGAGGGGCACCCAAAAATATTTTTTTTTTTTATCCTGTTTTGTTGTCTGAGTAATGTAGAAAATACATATATATGTTTCAAAAGAATATAGTAAATTTAAATTAAATTTTAATAATTCTCTTGTGCCATTGCTGCAAGGAACACGAATTGAATAATTGAAGAGTTAGGTTTGGAGGCAACTTCCCCTTAATAAGTCTGTCTCCTGCCTGCTCAAAAATTATTCACTTACGCATTTTTATAAATTTTTAGGATTAAAAAATGTATTGGAATTATATATTATACATTTATTATACTCATAGATTTTGATACTTGCACTTGATTTACATATGCTCTCAGAATTTAAATGATATTGTAGATTAGTTCGCAACAATAATTAATCATTTTTTTAATTCAATTTCATTTAAAATTTAATTAGCTTTAAATTTGCTTTTTACGAATAGAGAATGTTTGTTAAATTCAAATTATGTATATATATATGTATTGTTGAGGAATTGCTTTGTTTTGAATCCGATTTAACTTTAGATACTTTTAAATTTAATTTGCTATATATATTTATATAGCCTGAAATAGAAAAAAAAAAAAATTATGTATGGAGAGTCTGTAGATATTGAAACAAAGAATCTGTGCATCTGCTCATGAAGTAGGGTATTGTTAAATCATGCAGAGTGTTTGTTTCGAAGAACTGCTAAAATAATAATCCTGTATACTATGTATTATTATTTGGGAAGTAAGAGTTTTGAATGTTGGGAAAAGGTAATATTTGGTGTGAAAAGCTAATATAATATCTTTTGTAAAATATTAATTTATAAAAGAACGAAATATAGGTTTCAAAAATTTAAGATAAGTGCAGTATGGGAAAATGTCAGAGGAGGAGGAATTATAGTAGAGGTGTATATATTATTTTGAAACCATTTATTTTATTTACATTATAAAAAAATGATGAAATTTTAAATAGTCGCAAAACCTTAATCGATGAAATTATTTAGAGTTCTGCCATAACAGTGACATTGATCATATCCCTATAAATGTATGACTATGGCTGCTATTTAATATTCTTGAAACATTTAAAAATTTCTTTGTTCAGATTCAAACTCTGTGGAATGCTTACAAAAAGAGGAGAATAAAATCCAAAAATGAAATAGTAGTACAAAATTATTCTCTAAAACTTCAGTCTAGAAGTAGTAACAACATCAAAACAAAAAACAAAAATCCAAGGTTATCCATGCCAAAAAAGTTGAACTACATTTTTGAAAGTAGATAATAATCCAATGATATTTTGGTGGGGGGTAGGTTAATGATTGATAATTCCAATAATTTTGTTGCATGATATTTCCAGTGAAAATAAAGGCTCAGTACCGTCAAAAGTCTTTAATCCGGACTCGTCGGTACTTCGGCGATTCTAGATTATCGGTTTGTCCGAATTATAGATCATCAGTTTAAATCTGGTAAGATGGCATGCAGAAATTATAAAATTTATGAAATAAAGAGCAATTTTGATCTAAAGGGTATCAAAATTTACAAAAAAAAAAGCTTAATATTTATTTATTTACCTTATTAAACATTTCTTTCAACGCTCTCATGCGTAAAGCATACATTACGCATAGTCGAAATTAGAAAATTGCAACCAGAAAACTATTTGATGTGTATTCGTGATATTTATAATGACAAGTAATTTGATTTAAATCATATCAAAGAGTACATCAAGATGCAATACTACATTTAGTAAGAAAATATAAGCTGAATAAAATAAAAACATCTGCCCTGAAGATAAGGATAGTGCTGACAGATATTCCAATTCATTGCTCACCGCGACGTCCCCCCCCCTCGGACTTTGAAATTGATAAACAGATTTCGGAATGGTTAGAGAAACAAAGGATATTCTTTATCCATTTTTTGCAGCAATTCCACTTTTTGTTTCATGGACATCGAAACATGCTTTCACTTTGTAGATCCTTTGGCAGCTCTAGAATCGGAAATTCTTTTTGACATAATCGAAAGTTCAAGCTTACTTTATAAAATTGTTCTCACAGTCTGCAAAAAATAATAAGCCGGATCCAATTCGAAGATTAAGAAACGACACAATCTACAACATTAACTGAAATAGATAATTAGATAATTTTAGCTTATACTGTCCGTTATACATTAAGTGCGCATGCATAAACGCAATATATATATATGCTGTGTTTATGCGCATGCGTAAAGGTATTACATATGCGCATGCGTAAAAAAAAAAAGTAATAAAGGGGGGAAAAGTTTTGTAATCTTGTTTAAAAAGTTTTATGTTATTTCTGAAAATCATAAGCATCTTATCACTTTTGTATTATGTAATATATTTTATTTTTTCAGATGATGAACTGGAAGACAACCCCAATCAAAGTGATCTTATTGAACAAGCAGCTGAGATGTTATATGGTTTAATCCATGCTAGGTATATTTTAACTAACCGAGGAATAGCACAAATGGTGAGTTGGGCTTTGAGTCAGTTAATTTTTTAAAAAAAATCTTAGTTTTAAATACCAGTTGTAAAGAAGTGTCGACAGTATGTGTAATTATAATTTAACTGTATAAAATGTTCTGAATTTTAATGGTAAGTTTTTCTTCCCATGGCCTTCTCCCGTCTCATTAAAAAAAAAAAACATAATGGTCCCACAAATGTCCATAATTTATCATTGTTTGAGTTGCTTTATCCCATTTGGTATTATTAGCATACTGTTCAAAATTCAAACAAAAAAGGTAATAATTGTTTTTCAAAGATGTAATTTTTGTGTACTTGTTCTTTTCTCTGATACGTCATTCAAAACTAAAGCATGAGGTTGTATATAATTTTTTTGTTTGTGCCTCTCAGTCTCTTCATTTGTTGTTAAAAATGTTTCACTAACTTCATGTTTTAAAATTCAAATAAATTACTCTTTAGTAAATACTATTCTTAAATTTCATTTTTTGTGTCTAGTGTCAGTTTGAAGAATTAATTGTTGTTTAACTGAGCTGCTACTTTTTCATTATTAAAACAATCAAATTCCTTGTTGAGTGTGAATATTTTAAAATATGATCAAAGATATTATATAATTAGGATGAATTCAAAAATTATGATAAAAAATATAGGGAAAATCTCATGTTATGTATCTGTTTGTGATGATTGCGTTGATAATTTAGGAAACGGTATACAAAGGTAATCAATTATTGAAGAAGGATAGCAAGAAAATTTCATATTCACGATATGTAGCTGTATAGTATTGAAGAGGAAAGCAAATTTATTCTTTATAAAATAGAAGTTGGAAGAGAAAACGTAAGTTAAATATGCTTATTTAATTGAGAAGGGAAGTAGTAGTTTTAATTTGTAGTTTCTTGCTGAAATAGATTTATATTCAGCTCATAATGTGGGGTTCGTATGATCCTTAAGAGTCCATGGAACAACTTCCCATGTGTTTACTTTGTAACAAAGTGCTATCTAATAAGGCAATTAAACCATCTAATTTGCAGGAGCATCTGCAAAAAATTGATTCTGACAAACAAAATAAATGTTTGTTGTTTTTCACAAACGGCAGGGCAAGTTCCTGCAACCACTGTCTGTCTCAGGCTTACTAGTAGTGTCATAAAACAATGCGATGATGATTTGATAGTCTTGTATAATATATCAAAATTAATTGCTAAATCGGGGGAAAGTTTGTACATCGGTGATGAGGTGATACTGCCTTCTCTCAAGAAAGTTTTGGAAAGAGATTTACGCCATCCGGCTGCATCCAGTATTATAAAATATGTCCCATTAGACAATGATACAGTGCGACAACGAATTGATGAGATGGATGAAGATGTTGAAACTTCCTTATGCGAAATTTTGAAACTCGCCGAATTTTCTCTTCAGTTTGATGAAGCAATCTTGTGAAGTACTAATGAGGCTTTACTGTTGGCTTTATGAAGGAAGGAAAAATTATTCAAGATATGCTTTTTGCAAAAAGATTGATTGCAGATACATAAAAAATGAATCTATTTTTAATGCTGTCAAAGATTATTTTAAAGAGAAAAATATTCCTTTTTGAACATGTTGCCACTGATGGAGCACCTGCAATGGTGGGTCACCATTGTGGGTTCATCGAACATTTTAAGAAAGAGGTACCAAGTATTTTAGCTGTTCCATAGGCAGCATTTAGTTGCAAAAAAAACGCCAGCGACCATTTGCATCAGTCGTTACTATATGTCATCTCTGCCGTGAACAGAATTTGCAGTAATGCTCTCAATGATCGATTGAAGAATTCAATCGCTTGCTTTTACACATCGAGGTTTGCTTGCTGTCCAAATGTGCCTGCCTCAGTAGGTTCTGGAATCTTTTCAGCTCTGTACTTGAGTTCCTCGAAGAGAAAGAGTATCTCTGAAAAGACAGATTGTTACAATTTAAGATTGACATTGCTTACATAACCAATTTATTCACATAATTGAATGGAATTAAATTACAGCTTTAAGGTGTTGAACTCAATTTGATCACAACAAAATCTATTATTTTTGCCTTCTTAAAAGACTCACTTCATGAAAGCAGAATTTTGATTGCAACGAATTCAGCCAGTTTTTGAATTCGTCTGATCTGTATAAGACCAGTGAAATACTGTTCTTTGTATAAGGGTTGTTTCTGAGCATTTTGAGGTATTTTCTTTCTGGAAGTCCCTGAATGGATCACGAATCCTTTTATGAATATTGAGAAAGCAGAGGTTCATATTCAGGAGGAAGTAGTCGAACTTTCCACTAATGAAAATTTGAAAGCTAACTTCCAGAAAGGTGATCATCTCACAGAATTTTGGCGCCAAAGCAGCATCAGTTGTCTCTACTCAGGATTGTAGACTGTTGTCAAAAATTTTTCAATTGCCTTCTCTTTCTACTACCTTGTCAAGCGACGATTCAGTGTTGTGACTTGTCTTCTTTTTTTTAGTCCAAAGGGATTTGAATCCCGAAGGACTATTAGTTTCGTTTTGGCATTTTGCGTCGGACTCATAAATGTCGATTCACTTTTCAAACTGTTGCCACAAAATGTTAGAGTCCTGCATTATATTTGAAGAAATTAAATAATGAAAAATCTGCATAAATGCATGTATATTTCTCGTATTGTGATAAAAAAAACGGTACATAGAGTCATCGAATTTTGAATAACGTAATCCTCCAACGAATATGAGCATGTAGAAGACCAAATTTGAAATTTGTTTTATGATCGATTTCCTATTTTTTAAAACTTTGACGAATTTTTGATTAAAAAGCTCAAGGATTTCAATGCGAGCAATGGCAACGTTGTGCAGAAAAAACATTTTTATCTCCAGCACGTGAGTCTCTGTATCGGAAATTCTAAAGATATTGCTCATTTTAAAAACTATTTTGCGATATTGCTGTTGCAACTGGATCTTATGGTTTAAGTGCGAGGAACATGAAATTTAATAAAGAAAGGTAACACACAAAATGTTAAAAAACGCCCCTTTGGACGTAATTTAAAATCTGAAAAACATTTCAGATTTTGTTTTTTTATTTATTTTTTATTTTATTTATTATTTATTTTTAAGAAAAGAGAGAGAAGTCGACTGCAAATCATGGAAAGAGGGAACTTGCACCTTCATCTCTAAAAATATTGAACCAAATGTTCAGAAATTGGCTCTGAAACATCAAACACTAACATCCCAGTGATCGTACTTGATTTTTTTTTTCATTGATATTAATTGTTTCATTTTACATATCTTTTACTGTTCTTTTTTAGTAATTTAATTAAGAATAAACAGGATTCGTACGGTCCTTAAAAGTCCTTAATCTTGGCCAAAATCAGTAGATGGTCCTTAAATTTAATCGTCTGAAATTTCTGTCTGTTTTTATGACTGCTATTTTGAGTGTGAATTAGCATTTTGGAGGAATATTTTTGGCGATTGACTGACGTATGTATGGATTGTAATTTATTTCTATTTCTAATATAAATCAGAGGATACTTGAGTTTTTAAGCAAGAAGTGAAACATAAGCATTCCAAAATTCATTTTTTCTAAAAAAAAAAAGAGCTCTTAAACAACTTTTCGCTTTTGAGGATGTGAATTATTTTAGTAAACGTTGGTAAATTTGCCGACTTATCAAACATTTTGGCGATTTTAAGATCAGTTTCTATAGAAAATTTTTAATTCTGAATTTTTCGACGATTGTTTTTTAAACATCCTAACATTGATAAATTTCATTAAAATAATGGTAATATGTTGAAATTGTATTAAAAAAATAACATTAAAATAAAATTTTTTATATTTTGCTGTCATAAAGTTTCATTTTGGCAACTTAATAAATATACAATGTTTTGCATCTGAAAAATAAACAAGGTATAATGCTATAAAGCATAATTTATGAAACAGCTCTAAGCAAAAGCAAAATTAGCTATGTAATTAATTAAAAAATTCTTTTTAATTTTTTTCATTGTAAGCGTTTTTCTCATCTAATTGTCTCAGAATATGCATCAGTTTTCTCTATAAAATTAATTTTACATTTTTTTCCCTGCTTTTCCCCCCTCAAAATATTTCTGGCTTTTTCCTGTTACAGAATTGGTTGGGATAATTTTTCTTTAATATTTTTGACACTGCAGCTTGGAAAATTTAGAAGGATTTGAAGGCAAGATTTATAGACCCACTATTCTAGAATATTTGAGAAATATATGACAAAATGAAAAATGTCTCCATGGTATCAATGCATAATGGATGTATTTTACAGAAAGTTCGCGATGAATTTCTTACTTTTTGGAGAACGCCTGGAAGAACAATGAAGACATAATATTTGAATGTTTTACTCCTGATACTAGAATCTTTTTCTTAACATGTTTATCTTCCCTTTATTTTCTCTACTGTTTACTAGACACAAGCATGGAAAATATCAAAAATGCTTCAAATCTTATCACTTGGGCAGGCATTATAGAAAGGGACTTTTTTTATTAATAAAGAAATTGAAAACTTACAATTTAAAAGATCCATCTAATTAATATGTCTTAATGCATCATACACAGATCTGGCACTAGGCATTTTCTTATCTGATGCAATCTCTATGGGTTATAATTCGACTGCATAGTGCCTTTCTAAATTCTGCTTCCAATGCCTGCTCTCAATTCTAAAAGTTTTGCCATTTCTAGATTTTGTTGTTTGGTGTGTCACTATATTCTAAAAATTCTTCCACACCAGCTCTGTAATCATATTTCTTCTGAATTTCATATTACTAAAGAAATTAAATTAGTCACTTTTAAATGCATGTAGTGTTTTTTAGAAAAACAGAAATCCTTAATTAAATCCAAAAATTCTAAAATCAAAAGGAAACATGCTGAAGAAAGAAACTGAATACATAAAGAAAATTATTCTTTAAAGATAATGTGCAGTTATTAATATGTAAATTACCCAATTGTTTATAATTTCAGCCGTTACTATAATTTTCCATTTCTGTTTCCTCATATGATAGAGTTACTGAGCCAAATTAAATTGTATAATATTTGACCACTAGTCCACATTTTTAGTTTGAATTTGACTGTTCTTGTTTAATTTCATCACCGTGAGATGTATTTGACTTTGTTAGCATCAGAACATGCCTTTATGTTTGTTCTAAGTTCTTTTTAAATAAGAGGCTTATTTAAACCTTTGTCTGATATTGTAGTTACTTTCAAACATAGTGATAATTTGCTTCATGTCTATCGGGGATTTTGGACTATTTAACTTTTACCAGATCAAGTAAACCCTCATAAGTACATTGTGGAGTGGTCGACAAGTTAGGAGATAAAGCACACAGAAACTAGCGAGAGCATTGGTTTGCATATTGAGACAAATCTCTAATTATTGTTAGAAAAAATGCTTAAAGAGAAGGAAATCGATGTAAACTAGCCAAAATGTTTGAGAAGGCTTCAAATTAAAATGACGGATAAATTTTTTGTTGAGTTTTGATGTTACAAAACATAAATGTTTTGTAGCTTTTAATGTGTAATTATTCTAATATCATTTGAGAATCAGTGTCTTAAATTACCTGTGTTTAAACTGTGAAATTTTATTAGATTTTCATTTTAATAGGGCTTTTTTAACCCTTTTGCCATCCTTTTCTGTCTGCAAAAATTTCTCCTCAGCGGCTGTGAGTTTTTGTAGCGTGTAATGTTTTCTCTGTACATCATAACTTTCCATACATAACTTTCGTAGTGGATGAATGTCAATGAATATTAAGTAAAATTATAAGGAAAAAAGCATAAGGAAAAAAATATCTCTGCGGATTCTAACAGCAGGATAATTTGATAACATCTGTTCCAGGCGGTCCACTCCTCACATTTGTTGTGTAATCTTTTATTGGTTTTTTACTGTTCTTTTCCGGTTCCAACATCAATCATCGAGTTATAAGGACTGTACTCATCAACCTATATCCTTCTTGTCTTTCCAATTCACAACCAGTTTTTCTCTTTTCTGTGAGTAACGTTGAAGCCTTCTCTCACTGTCTTGTATCTTTAAAATGGCGCAAATATTTATAAAACCCAGGCCAAATTCAATTAGAATTAAAATGCCTGATTACTGCTATCCTCTAGGAGGTATTAGAACAAACAAAAATAAAAACTCAAACAAGTAAACATTTAGAAAGCGTTTTAAACGTTTAAAAGTTTTAAAATGTAGCAGAACGCTTGTAGCGCGTTACGGCCACCCTGTGGAAGTTTCGCTTGAACGCGTTAGACGCGTTATAGACGATGATGAGGTTAACAAGTATTGTTAAAAAATAAAATTTAATAGTGGCCATGTTAAGCCATGATGCCTAAGGTTACCTATTAACCTAATTTAATTATTTATAACTAACTGCCCACCCTTAATATCTCTACATATAAGCGAGTTATGCCTTCATTACTACTCACTGTGCACAAGATAAAACACAAAAATGTAGAAATTCAAGTAAAACTTATTCTTTGCATCTAGTGAGATTTAAAATAATACAAAACAACTTACGCCTGTGATGCTTTAATGGCTTATTGGAACCTAAAAGTATATTAACTGGATTACAACCCCCTAAAACTCTGCACAAAGCTATGACACTAACTGCATCAAACAGAGCCTGACAAACTTTCAACACTTGCCAACCGTGCCTACATCAGGCCTTTCAGGTTTGTTTGAATCAACAGTTCTGTCTCTAGACAAGCAGCTGGGGTGACAACATTCAGTCTTTTGTATTAATCATGCTGATTGTGATCTTACTTCTCATTTTAATCTATGCTGTTTGACATAAAATATACCTGCTATTTACTAAACCTCTAGACCAGCAATTCTCAACCTTTTGACTAACCTGTACCATCTAAACAAAAATTTAAAATATTTAGTACCACCACTACAAAGTACTAGTACTACCACTACTCTTGAACAAAGCTCAGATCGCATAAATTTACAAGTGTTAGAGAAAAAAACTGAATCAGGATATTGGGGTTTTAATTTTTGAAATAAATAGTTAAAAAATACTCTGCTTCTTTGTGTACCACCTATTTTTTTCTTGCATACCACCGGTTCAGAATCTCTGCTCTAGACTGACCAAGTATGTGACAAAATGAGACATAAAAAAATCTTCTTCCAAATATGTCCAACGTATTAGAAGTGTAAAATATTTGATGCTACTTGATAAACTGCATGAAGTTATTTTATTCTTAAACTTATTAATTATGTTTTCATGTTTAGTAATAATGCATACTACTTAGGTATCTATTTTATTTTTAGGATGGTATTACAAAAGTGAAATTCAGGCATAGAATAATATTTTTAATTGAATTTATTCATTTCCCATTTGCTCATAGGTCCTTAATTTTTTTTCATTGATGGTCCTTAAAAGTACTTAATTTCCATGTGCAGAAATGTGCACGATGCCTGTAATGGTGTTAAATTTTAAGCAATAAATATTTCGTAGTAGTTTTTTTAATACATGAAAAAAACTTTTGTATGAATATTTTTTTCAGACATAAAAACTGTCGAAAAGGTTTTTTTAACTATTGAATGTTTTTTTAACTACTTCATTTATAGAGAAGTTGCTTGCTCATATATTTGTTCAAGATGTGTTGTATGTATTGCAACATATAAAACTCTAGGACTTGATTATGTATAATCAGATTTGAATTTTTCATAATTTCAGATATTTGATCAGTTGGTTTGAAATATTGAATAGTCGCGGACTTCTGTGCACTTTTAGCAGTTTGAGCCATGTCTAGACAAATTAATGTAAATTAATCCAGCGATGAATGTACAATGTTTCTTAACAAATGTTCCATACTATTAAGGTATTTTTAGCTTTTAGATTCCATTTCTTTTATTAAAAAGAACTCACAAGTTCCTGAATGGTAAAATCACTGAATATTGGTAGTTCATCTTGGATCAGATGCTAGCAAATAAAAAGCCTACTTGGAAGAGTAAAAACACTTATATAATCAGCATATAGTCCCCCTTACCCCAGTAATTGGTGCATGTATCTCTGTTATGTATTATTATTGTAATAGTTAAAATGTAATGATATTTTCACATTGTATAATTTTAATTATTAATGCATTTAATTTTATACTATTATTAGATTGAAAAACATCAAAATGGTGATTTTGGTGCTTGTCCACGAGTCTATTGTGAAAATCAGCCCATGCTTCCAATTGGTAAGATTTTTTTAATATGTGTAGTAATATTAAAAAAAAATACGTAAACTTTATTAAGACTTTGTAAGGCTTTACTCCAGTAGCTATGTTTTACAAAAAAAAAAAAAAAAAAAGGAAGAAAAGAAAGAAAGAAAGAAAAAGAAAAAGTTTATCTTTAATTTTCCGTATTTGTTATATAATCGGTGTCCAAGTTTCCTCTCTGTAGGAATTGCATGTAAAACTTACCTCTACTAGATTTTTCAAAAAACCATAACAATATATTTATTTTATTTTGAAAGTAGTAAAATAGGTTTTGGATGGAAAAAAAAATGTGCTTATATGATTGTTTTTCCATAACGAGGTATTTTATTTAGTGGCTAAGTGAAATTAAGAATCATAATTTTTGAGTATGTTTTATTATGGAAGGAAAAATTAAATGCGCATGCATAAAGTATTAATTTAAAAAAAAAAGGTTTGTGGCTTTGAGGTTCGGATTTTAGATCATTCCGAATAATGGACGTCCGAATTTCGGACTTTGTACTGTATTGAGATTTTTCATCAAATCACTATATTGCCTGAGCATTTGCATTTTCTTCTGTTGCAATAGCCATTATCGGCTTGAATTATTTTCATTCCTTTTGTCACTGTGATGATTCTCAAAGAGCATAATTTTAAATTACATAAAATGGCTGTGCAAATAATCAGGGTGTATGCAGCCTTTAAAAGTCCTTAATTTCAGCCAAAACCGACAAAGATCTCCAATTTTACTCATCTCACATTTCTGTCTTTTTTCTGCCGTTTTTAGTTTGAAGGAATATTTTTTGGCAGTGCATTGATAAATATGTATTTGATGGGTTAACATTTGAATTATTTCCTACTTCTTAATATAAATAGTGGATACATGCGTTTTAGGTACAAGGCCCTGCCTCGATATAAACATAAACATTTTGAAATAATTTCTTTTTTGCACATGAAAAGTTCAAAAAATATCACATCAGAAACAACTTTTCCCTTTTGGGAATACAAGTTCTTTTATTATGTGTTGCTAAATATGGCAATTTTAAAACCAGCTTTTGTTTTTAAAAAAAAAAAAAAAAAAAAATTGTTCGTTGGATTTGCAGAATTTTGATGATTTTCTTTACAAACATAATAACACTGATAAATATCATAAAAATAGTGATAATTAATTAAAGAAGTAGGTATATTCTAGATTTAGGACCTTACATTTATCATCCTTTAGTTGATTAATGATTGGAGCATTGTCATCACAATGAAAAATTTCTGTTTCACCTTCATTTAGTACCGCTTCGCATTTCTTTAAAAATTCCATTAATAGGACAATTTTGCTTTTTGTTTTCAAAATCTGAACACCTTCAAATTTGTGGCTATCATAATGCTTAGCTAGTGTCTACTATACTTTATTGGCAGTGTATCATGAAACTGGTGAAAGATGTGTTTTACTGAATTTTATCTGGTGGCTATGGCATGCTGAGGAAGTTGAGCTTGAATTATATTAGTTATTATACTTTTGCTTATTTTCTACACATGTTTAAAGCTTATTTGTGTGCCAAATAAATAAATTCTCATGTATACTTAAAGTATATCCAGGGCCAGCGCTAGACATTTTACCAGCCAGTGCAATCTCTGTGGGTCCGAAATTCTACTGCCAAGCGCCTCCCTAAATTCTAAAAATTTTGCCACCCTTAATTTTTCCCTGAAGGACTATTAATTTCATTTTGGCATTTTGCGTTGAAAACTATAAACAGCAAATTGCTTTTCAAACTGTTGCCACCAAATATTATCATCTTGTATTCTATTTAAAGAAATTTAATGAAGACTGCATGAATGTATGTATGTTTCTCGCACTGTGATAAAACAACGGTATCTAGAGCCATCAGAATTTGAATAACGTAATCTCCCATAGAATCTGGGCAAGTGGAAGCCCTAATTTGAATTTGAAATTTGTTTTATTATCAGTTTCATATTTTGCAGCACTTCAACAAATTTTTTATTAACAAACTAAACTATTTTAAAGCAAGTGATGGCAACACTGTACGAGAAAAGGATTTTTATCTCCAGCACGCGAGACTCTTTATTGAAAATGTAACACACAAAACGTTAAAAAATGCCCCTTTGGATGTAATTTAAAATCTGAAACCTCTCGGGTTTTTTATTTATATATTTATTTATTTTTATTTGTTTAAATATCACTGCGAGAATCATTTCTCTAGCTGTAGTTTGTTGATAGTCATGCGGTGATGAAAGCAGAAAATAATATATAAGGATTCTCCAGGGTGGCATCATTGCTGAAGTGAAATTAAGAAACTGATATCTGCACATGTTTTATAATGAACGGTATAAAATTTGCAAGTGTAAAGCAATTCAAAAAAATTCAAAAAAAAAAAAAAAAAAAGTTGCTGGTGATCTAGAATTCCAGTTTTTAAATCATTTCAGATGTTGGAAGTCCAGAGTTTTTTTACTTTGTGCTATATAAAATATCCATTGGTTTGATATTTCTGCTATGTTATTTCACTTCTCATTGGAAATTATTATATTTTTACCTTCATAATTTAAATTTGCATACATGATTCAATTTTATTCTTGTTAGTCACTTGAGTATTAACTGTACTTTCAATCATGAGGAGCAACATTTTCTTTATTCTACTTTTGGATAATAATTAATATGCTAGAATTGATTGCTATTGTCATGATTATTATTCATATAATAAAAAGTTTAATATTTTTATGAAATATTATATTTTTTACTTGAAATTTGCTTTTTCATTGGAATTTTTTTAACCCTTTCCGGCATGCTACTCTTTAAAGTTAGAATTTTACAAAAAAAAATTGTACGCAGTCTATTTAGGCCTAGGAGAGTATGCAGGTATAATTTTACAAAGATTGCATAAACCGTTTCCATTTTGTGAGTATGTCCGAAGCGAACACGCTGAGCCGCACGAGCTGCGATATGTGAGCATTGCTGTGAAGCACGTATTACAATAAAATACTTTGTCTATGATTTAAAAACAGTAGAATCTGATCTCTGTAGCTGATTTAGTATAACCCACGGGGAGGCCTGCTACTCCTTAAAAAAAAAGGAAACTCATTGCTTTGGCAATGCTGAGGCCTTTCTGAGCCATTTACACAATTTTAAAATTTATGAGAAAAATAATTAAAACACTATAATATTTACAATTAATTATTGACTGAAAAAAATAATTATTAAATATATATACAAATAAAGATCTACAGAAATCAAAACTAAGCAAACTAAGCACGATGAAAGCAAGAGAAAAAAAAGGTCTGCTCTCGCTGAAAATCAAATAGCTAAGTGAAAACAAAGCACTGGGGTCTTCAAAATAAAAAACAGAAGAGAATAAAAACAAATATAAATAAGTCTGTGCTCTCAGCCTTCCCTGTGACAGGCACTACCAGTACAGTGTGTTCAGTCCGAACACGTTATACTCAGGCTTCACTATACGCAATATTTCAAAGATAAAAATTAAAAGTAGTACAGAATAGGCAGATTAGCATATGAACAACAAAATGATATAAAGATTTTTTTTCATTGATATTCTTTATATTTAAAAAAAAAAACAGAATATGTCTCAACGTTAATGATTTGCTTGTGTGGTGCTGCCATCTATTATTCATAAAAGAGATTAAAAGTAACCATTGGTCTAGTTTTCGGGAAATTTATCGATTATTCGAACGCCGAACACACTGCGCCGGAAAGGGTTAGTGGGTCAATGTAATAATAATTTATTATATATAATACTTTTAAGTTTAAAGATGTATTGTTTTAAAAAAGTGCTTGTGAGTTAACTGGAAACAGGTAAGAAATGGTGGTAATTTGCCAATAAATTTGACACTGACGTTATCGTCAAAAATAGTGATTGATACATAACATAGCTCCTACCTCCAGATAAGACACAAGCACCAAATGTAACTCTTTATGTAAATATTTTGAAATAAAATTCAACTTTTTATGTTGAAACTGAAGGAAAAGGAAATTAAATATATAAATGCAGCACCAACACATTTTTTGTAGGTCTGTCTGATGTTCCTGGTGAATCGATGGTAAAACTGTATTGTCCTAAATGCACTGACGTATACAATCCTAAATCATCACGTCACAATCAGACTGATGGGGCTTATTTTGGCACAGGCTTTCCTCATATGCTATACATGGTTCACCCAGATTACAGACCAAAAAGGCCTATGAATCAGTTTGTTCCTCGGTAAGTTTTCGCTTTAAGTTTCTTTCAGTTTTCATCTCTCTCCATTTTATTAAAATTGTTCTGTAATTTTTTTTTAATTAGTGTATATATAAATTTTTGATGAATGTGTTTGTTTAAATAATAAATCTCATCTGCCAATGCCAATGATTTGAAAATTACGGAGTTCCTATGGTTCAAAACCATTTACCTCCTCATCAGAATTACTAAAAGCGAGCAGAAATGGGAAAAAATTTTGCATAAGTGAATTACTTGATGCACACTAGAGGGAGCCACAGGCTCAAGAAAGTTTAGGGATAGAGATGAGAAAATAAAAACTTAAGTTTCATAATATTTTTTATAAGTTTTTAGGTTTTATAATTTTTTTTGTATTTTATATTTTATACTTTTTTTGGTTTTTATAAATTTTTTATACACAATACAACACTAAAGCAGAAAGCGGAGAGGAAAGAGTTTAAGATTAATAGGCTCATTGGCATGTGGCTTGTGTAGGATAGTGCAAATAATAAATATGAACGCGTTGAAAATATTCATAGGCAGATTTTAAAAATCTGCGGGAGATGTGATTTTATGCGAACAGATTGATAACTTTGCTAGAAGATCTTGATTGCAGGTAGTGATGGTGATAAAGCAATTATATGGCAGCTCGCTGAAGAGACTTCCTTCCTTCATGGCGCGGAGACTGGAACTGAGGTAGAGAGGGCGTGTCTAGCCCTTTTAGATGGTGGGTAGATGCCGAACTCTCGGCCAATCACGGCTCTCGGTCTCTTCTGTGAGCTGCGAATAGCAGGATCGTATGCTGGCATCTGTTGAAGTGCTCGATTATCAATCTGTTCAATTTTGAGGAATAAATTTTGACTAAGTTTTTTAATACAGGTAATCAACAGGTTTAACGTTTAAGGTCCCGAATGAATCACATCTGTACGGACGTACCAAGCTGCGTTTCAGGGCCATACGTAAGGTTTTACTTTGAAAAGATTGAAGTTTTTTCACATGAGTTTTTGCAGCAGTACCACCAAATTAGTACAAGCATACAAAAATATGGGTCTTATAACAGAGATGTATAGAGAAGGAGTTTGCTTTTTTAATTGACAGATTGCTCTTTCGAGCTAAAAATGGGTAAAGTTGGGCTCTGGCACCTTTTGCTTTGTTGAGAACATTTTCAATGTGAAGGCGCCAGGTTAATTTTGAATCAAGTACAACTCCTAGGTACTTGTAAGAGTTTGACCAGGGAACATAGTCATCAAAGAATTTAATATTAATGGAAGGGTACGGGAGGGGGCTACGTTTGAATATCATAGCAGCACATTTAGCAACATTAATTTTTATTTTCCAAGTGATGAGCCAGTGCTCAAGGCTAGAGAGATAACTCTGAATGATTTGGACCAAGTTTTCAAGGCGTTTGTGTTGAGCTAGGATGGCCGTATCATCTGCATAAAGTGCAAGAGTGATACTAGGTGATTTTGGTATGTCATTTATGAAAATGTTGAACAAAATTGGGCCTAAAAGTGACCCTTGGGGGACGGCCGCTTAGTATAGGACGGGGGTGTCGAAATGAAAGAATTAACTCGTACAGAAAAAGATCTATTAGTGAGGTACGAATTAATTATATGAATTAAATGGGCCGAAACGTCAAGTCGTATGAGCTTGATAATAATTCCTATATGCCAAGTCCTATCAAATGCTTTGGCTATGTCAAGAAATAAAGCGCCAGAGTAAGCATTTTGTTACGAAAACCCTTCGTGAATGAACTCCACTGTCCTCAGCAGCTGGTGCGTGGTGCAGTGTTTTGCTCGAAATCCAAATTGTTCATCAATCAGAACGTTGTGATTTCGGAGAGAAAATCATTCAGGCGTTTAAGTAACACAAACTCGTATATCTTAGATAACGAGGATAGGAGGCTGATAGGTCTATAATTTTGAGGGTTAGAAAGGCTTTGGCCTGGTTTTGGAATAGGCACAATAAGTGCTTGTTTCCAGCTTTGAGGAAAATAGCAATGCTGTATCATAAAATTTATAAGCATTACTAAGAAAAATAGATAATTGGTGGGTAAAATTTTTAATCATACGATTAGAAATAGAGTCCATACCAGGGCTTTTTTGGGTTTGAGCTTGGTAATGTATTCACTTACCTCGCTCATGGATGTATAGTGTATTTCTCTCGCGAAAGGCGAGGAGAGGAAACGTTCAACATCTTGTGGGAAAGAACTTGCGCTGTTCGCAAAAATTCCTTCATTATGGTGTAAATTGAGTTTGAAGAGAATCCGCAATTAATTCGGATTTCTCAGCGTCTGTGTGAGCCAACCACTGCGTCCGTAGCTAAGGACGGTAATGTTAGATTTGTGTTTGCGTAAGCGGGCTGATGCGCGCCAAAGACTGTTATCATTGGTCGTTAGGGACTGAATGTAATTCGTGTATTGTGATTGGAAGAAATGGTCACATGATGCCTTGATCTCATTTTGGAGAGCATACGGAGTTGAATTTTTAAATCCAGGATTTCTATTTCTTTTGCCAAAGTCTCCGTACTTTATTCTTTTCTTTAATTTTGAGTTTAATTTCTTGAGAACGTAATTTACGAAAATTGGGTCTGAGGGTGGGTTTTGATACTTCCTTATAAGTATCTGTTAAAATGGTCGTTAAGTGATCAACTGCCGAGTCTATATCATGGCTGGATTTAATTTCAAGGGAGGGCAAATTTTTACTTTTTAAGTTTGAAACTAAAATTGTCCCAGTTTGTAGAGACGAGTGCCGGAGAATTTTGATTAAAAATAGTACAGTTAAGGTCTATGATTACGGGGTTGTGATCTGAGGATAAACAGTTTTCCACAGTCACGTGATATCCAAAAGGGATGTTTCGAAAGAGTGCCAAATCAATGAATGAAGGGGCACCCCGTGAACCATATCTAGTAGGGGAATCCGGCGCAATAATTTTAATTTGGGCGCACTGAGCCCATTTTAGAAGGCCACGACCAGCAGGGTTTGATCTATGGCAACGCCAATGCTGATGGTGACAATTTAAATCACCAGCTATGATTAGATTGTTGGAAAAGGTGAGCAATTTGTTTAAAATCAACCACAGGTAAATTTCCACCTGGTGGAAGATAGGCAGAGATCATTACAAGGGAGGGCGAATTTTGAATGAAAATTTCAATGATTGTTGCCTCGAGTTTACTCATACTCGGAGTGTCAATTCTTTTGTATTGAATTTTTAATATAGACACAAGTGCCACTATGATAAACATCACGAGTATTAGAAGCTTGTCTGTCATTTTTGTATAATGCATAATTTGCAAGCTTGGGAGCTCTCCCTGGCTGGAGTTTGGTCTCTTGGACAAAAATAATGTCAAAATCTTTCTCTTCCACGTAGTCTCTAAACTCATGGAATTTGGATAGAATGCCATTTGCATTCCAGGTGCATAGTTTTAAGTTTTTCAATCCTTTCAAAGTATTGAATTTTACTGACTGGGGATATCAGAGAATTGGAGAGTAATATAACTCTCAAAGATGTAGTAAGCCGCGTCAGCACCAGATGGAGCCACTCTGAGCTGCGGTAAGGCGTTTTTGAATGCCAAAAGAAGTCTGCTCTGGTCAATACCAGGCTGGTTTGAAATTTGAATAATTGCCAAAAGGATTTCGGTGCAATTTAGCGTCGAATTAGCTCCTAAGGGGACCGATAAATTTGGAATAATTTGGGGTGCAGCTTGTTGCATACCAGTAAGTGCTGCGGAGAAAGAAACTCCAGGGCGAATATTATTTGCACTGGGTGTAGGTGCAGCCGACAGTGTTGGGAAATGGGTGTTGTTTTGGAGATTAATTTTGTCTGCGTTGGTTTTTTCAGCGGTCAGGCTGGGTTTGGTGCTCGGTTTCGAATTTGATCTGTTTTTTGAACCTGGGAATCTTGGGCAGGAACGCCAGTTAGCCGCATGATTTCCGGAGCAGTTTGCACATTTATTAGGTGCTTCAAATGGTTTCGGGCAGTCTTTTGCTTGGTGTGGGCCTGCACATTTCACACATCTTCTAGGGAGCGTGCACACTTCTGATGAGTGAAAGAACCCTTGACAGCGCCAGCACTGTGAAGGGCCTTTCTGACCTTTGAAATGCTCCATGGCAACTTCCGTTCCTAGTAGCTCTGTGATATTGTAAATTTCTTCTGCTTTAAGGCTATTGTAGATCTGGAAATCTCATCTGTATATATCAAGGGGGGTCTAAACTCTGCTACCGTGGAAGCATATGGTAGAATTGATGAAAATTTAAGATCCACAACTGAATTTCTAAAGAACATGTCCGTATTTACATTGTTCAGACTAATGAAGTGTTGCAATGTTTCAAAGTAATGAAACAGCTTTTGAACGAAAAAATAAGTAAATAAATTAGAATTTTCCATTTTCTATGCAATTTATATGGTTACATATAAATAAAAAAAACTCTTATTTTTGTTGCTGTATGTACAGGAAAATATATTTGTACGATATGCGAATTTTAAACTATTGTACAGTGTAAATGAACTCCCCCCCCCTAAATTATATAGCACTTGCGGCATGCGGTTTCTTTTTGCCCTGTTTATGATCTTTGATTGGTTTTAGCAGAAATAAATTGAACAAAAATGTCGCTCTTTAACAGTAATGTAGAAAGTTTATAATTTTACATAAAAATGAAACATGAATTTCAGGGGGGGGTGAAGAATAGACCATTTTTTCCCTTATATGCAGTCCTCTGGGAAAATTAAATAAGTGATACAGGATAATATAATATGATCTGGGAAAAACTTGCTTTTTCGTGAAAGAAATTTTTAAATTGTCAACTTTCCATGACTTCTGCATAAATAATAGCATTCCAATGCAATTAACATGAGCATCAACATTCTGATTGTTTTGTAGCAATGTTCTGAATGCTGAGAGGTAGTAAACTTGTTTTGGGTGTTAGAGAGCAATGAGCATGTTTTGACATTTAAAAACTCCCAAAAAATTTATTAAATCAATTATCTGGTTTACACCATTTGTACTA